TATATATATATATATATATATATATATACACAGAGAGAGAGAGAGAGAGAGAGAGAGAGAGAGAGAGAGAGAGAGAGAGAGAGAGAGAGAGAGAGGACCGTAGTGGCAAAAGGGCCCTTGGGGATGAGAGTAATTTGTTACAATGGATATTTGGTTGTAGCAGCGATTTGCATGTCCATGGCCTGGGACCAGGTACAATCACAATATGCCACAGGCCATGGTACAGAAGCAAGATGTCAGTTCTTCCTGGACTCACGGGCAATTCCCATCTGTAAACTGGGTACGAATGTAAGTTTCCCTTTAGTAAAGTACTTGCTAGTTTGGATGAGTAGGAGAGCATGCAGTGGTCAGGTCTCTCCATTGACTAGTTGGTTGAGGCTGCAACCTTAAGTAAATTTGGCAAAAACTGAGTGGGTGGTGAGTTGTAACCTCTTTGTGATAATTGTATGTTTATGGGAAGGTGGACCTGGTTTCCAGTAGGAGCGCGCTCTCCGCCGATAGAGTGGAGCGAGAAGGTGGATAAAACAAATAGGAAAAAAGAAACACCCTTTGATATTGCAAGCCTACAGCTATCCTTATTAATAGTGTTAGATGCCCGGGATTTACCAATTTTCAAACAAGATTCATTCTAGTGTTGCTCACACTTGCAAATTTTACACAAACGAAAGCACAGACAGCAGGGAGATATAACATTCCTTTCACAGACAGGCACCACGTGAGAAACAAGGGCATAGGGAACAGGTATGGAGTATGCAAGGAAATCGATAGGGTTGAAAGACAAAAGGGGAGATGTTTTGGTGGCAAAAGATATGGATGGGGGCATGAGAGTCAATGCCTGCAAGTGAGGAGACGAAAAAGTAAGGCTATGTAATGGCTAGAAGCACTTGGCGAAAACTACGTGGGTAAAATTGGAGAGGCAAACCTCGTTTTGGAAGGGAAATACAAGATAAGGGCACTGACCTCCTCAATTGCAGCCATGTAAGCTGGAAGGTCCAGCTGGAGAGCCCTGCTGACACTGAAGCTCGAGTCAGCCTTTATCTGGAATCCCACTTCTTCTGACAGTTTGGCCCAGTGCCGATCCCTCATGCCAGGGTTACGCAATGCGATGATCATTGGTACATTTGCCTGTCATATTCAGGGTGCACGAACCAGAGCGTTTGATGAGTCTAGCATTGGTTTCCTTCTCTCAATCCCTTGCTATTCTTTGCAAAAATGACCAGGAGAGTTGTTACAATCCTGGCCAATTTCGAAGTACAAATTGACGAGAAAGTACAATCCTGTCCAATTGCAAAAAGAAATGAATGAACTTGAGAGGAGAGAGAGGGAAAGAAGAAGAAGAAGATGTATGCAATCAGACTTGCTTTCATTCAAACTTTACATGCATGCGAACAGTAGCACAGCAAACTGGCGACATGCGCCCACTCAAACTCAGAGATATGGCAACCCAGATAAGAGTTCACTTCCAATGGCTATGGCGACTCAGCGCCCAAACAACTCACTGTTCACATACACCGGATCACCCTGGATATCCCACACGCGTCCCTCCGAACACTCACACATACACACATACACTTCACACTAACTCTAGCTATGGCGGCCGTGGCCGCAACTACCCTATCGCTATGCTACGCTCCTTCTCTGTTACATACTTCACTGAGTATGGGCAGAACCAAAGATCAACCAATGTAGGATGAGCATATATGCAGCGGAAGTCTGATAAACGGACTGACTCACATAGACTGACTCACATAGATATCACTCCACACACATACAATCGTGAGATGGTGGGGTATGGGCCAAGCATAGACGATGCCCAGACCTCGTACACACA